GAGAGGAGATTGAGGATCTTTACGGGCCTATCAGGAAGACGAGGACTACATTTCGGATAGGAGGGTTTGCCTTTCCGACAGTCCGACTACGCGCCAGGTTCCCGGTCTTTGTAGTGGAGCAGCTTTGGGGCTTGGGGAGCGTCGTGGAGAGATATTTCGCGGCTCTAGAGCTCAACGGACTAGCCCGAGGGCAGAGGGACCGGGATTGGATTGCCTATGTACAGTTCGTAGGCGGACCTCTTACTAGAGAGAGAGGGGTATAACTCATTGAGTTCTTACGTGCCCTAGTGCCTACAACAGACCACCACTTTTTTTTCCCGGGCCAACCCTTAGAGTTCTGGGTGGCCTTAGAGAGGGAGGTCCAGACGCCTGTAGATAGTCTGGAGGGAGTCGGGCGGCTCTTTAGCGAGACTCCCAGCGACAGGCCTACTCCCCTCATTTCTATCTGGGAGTTGGAGGAACATTATCAGAGTATATACCCAGATAGGGAGGAGCTCGGCTGGGACGCCGAAGATAGAGATTGGGTACAGCATAGCGACATAGAGCCTTGGCGAGAGGACGAGAGATTGTGGAGAGACGTGCCTGACGTAGGGCAGGGCGAGATTGACGCTGATATAGACGGACCGCAGGAGGACGGCTGGGGACATCTCCTTCAGGCCGAAAAACAGGAGAATATCCCATGGGGTCAGAGGGTAGATGAGGATGGAGATGACGATATGCGAGATGCACGAGACGATTAGTAGCAGGGCATATTCGGGCGTAGCTTAGAGAAGGAAATAGGATCGGTTAGTAGGCACAGAGAGAAGACTTTAGGCAAGACGAGAGTGGCAATAAGAGCAGGAAAGGATGGCGGACAGAGACACCCTGAGAGTAACCCTTTCCTTACGATGAGATAGGACGGGCGACTGGGAAGATGAAGCGTTGGACAATGTTGAGCGACAAATCAGACTCATGACGGAGCATGCCCTGGAGATACAGAGAGGCCAAAGGTACGTTGAGTTTACTATCTACTTCCATGGAGCAGACGAGAGAGTGCACAACACGTACTCGACCATACTGAACCTGAGTGGGAAAGTTGTCTGAGGGCCTAGCGACATCATGAGATAGGGTGCGTCGAAGGGAGTAGGGTTATACAGATCGAGTGGCGAAGTGAGTAATAAGGAGTGATTCGAGTGCATGGTGGGCGCATGTCTTATTGGAAGACCGCGCTCGGGATCGACATACCTTGAGTCGATGAGTTAGCTTGAGTAATGAGGAGTGACAAGGCAGCTTGGCTGGCCTATGTTCTCTCGCGAGAGGACGAATCCTATCGCGTGAGGAAACTTGTAAGACCCAGAGAGACGGCTGTTGGATATGATATTCCCCTTCCTGTGAGATTAGAGGAGACTGACTGTATTCCGATACGTCACCTTGGAACGCGGCTGGCAGAGGGACTTTTCCTTTGGACGGTGATACTGAAAGATAGACGACCCGAAAGGACTCATAACCTACAAGGGGTGGGACATCTGATAGCGGACAAAGCTCATGATTTAGACGTAGGGCTAACACTGGCAGGGGCTAGCAGGGCTTGGTGGAGAAACGAGTTGCTGGCTAGAGTGATCGTTAATCACAACTGGCGAGACTCTCGGGAGGGAGTTCGTACTGGAGTCGCTTGGTATATGGACCTCCGCAACCGACCTTCTACCCGGAAGAGGGTTGGCGATTTGGACTTCCTGCGTTTGTGATAGGGCAGACCTACGGGAGCGTAGACCGTCTGAGTGTGGCAGTGGACCACACGCTTTACGCGCTTGGAGGGCTTGGCCCCCCATTTCAGGGAAGCATACTACGCCATTTGTGTACGGTGGGGGCCACCTAGCAGAGAGACGCGTGACGACATCATAGACGCTACTTGCTGGGTGGACTGTCTGAGGCCAGTCGATCTGATTTGGTACTGCAGGAGACGAGCGGAGATAGATTATGTGGGGCTGGAGGATGTGAGATTTCTCTTCGAGGTCGCAGCTTAGGGAATGCCGGGGAGAACGGCAACTGTGATGCGATTAGATAAGCAGCTTGTAAGCACAGGGTACACTGTGATGGTACTTCTCCGAGCATATATAGATGAGGACTTGACGGTGAGGGAGTGCCGACCACGAGCCAGGGATTTGATCCGCGAACACAAAACTGATGTACTGGCGCAGGTGACCTTCCAGACCTCGATTTCCTATGATGTGATGATATGGACGCATGGTTATATGCGCGTGGAACACTACCACGATGAGACGGTAGCGGAGGCTAGAGCGAGGGTATGAGGATGAGTTGGAGAGAGATGTGGACAGAGTATGGAAGAGGAAGGTGAGGCGGTCAGAAGAGTGAGGAAACGTATTAAAGAACCACTCTTGAACCGGGTAAAGGAGTTGGGGAACAAGATTAGGGAGATCGGGTCGTGCCAAGATGAGGCCAAGCTGCGTAGGGTTGAGCTCGCGACGAAAGAGTTAGGGAGTTTGTTAAGGGAGGAGAGAGAGGTTATTCAGGCGTGGAGATCAGACTTTCTGGAGAGGGTAAAGGCTAGGAACCTATCGCGCGAGGGAGCCAGGGAGAAGTCTGCAGAGGACGTGACAACGGAGGACAAGGTGACGTAGGGAGCTAGCAACAGGACATGAGCGGGACTGCCCTACATACGATGGACAGGTACTTATTGCATGTGATAGGGAGACTGGACGGACCATTGGTGTTAGTGATTGCAGAGCTCCAGCTCCATACCAGGTTGTGCATAGTTGAGGAGGCAGAGTACGTTCGCCGTGCATTGCGTGAGGCTAGGGGAACAGAACTTTGGATCAGAGTGGAAGGAGGACGAAGGATAAAGTACGTACTACGCACGACACCATTGGATGGGAGACCTTTGATAAGGGTGTGGTACGAGACGCTCAGAGAGACTGAGAGGTTGAAGATAAGCGAGGCCAGGAGAGCTGGGGAGCTAGGGAGAGTTATAATAGACGAAGTGATATTGAGGGTGCTAGCTGCTCATGACCGATACCAGAGAGAATCGATAAAGACTTTAGAGGCTATAGAGGATAGTGGAGATGAGGAGGATTTTGAAACGTTCTATGATATATTGGAGTTGTCGGCAATGAGACTACGAGCGGCTATAACACTGACTTCCCTCAGATACTAGACAGGTGACCTTATAGCTGTCTGGGAGTTGAAGGGGGAGATGGTTAGATGGCGGTAGGAGGAGAGTTTCCTCCTTTTGCGGGCTACCCGATTCAGGACGGACTAGATGATCTAGCAAGGAGGACGGAGATAGACGCTCGATGACTCTTCAGGAGAGCAAGTCGGGAGACATTGGTTAGGCTTGGGACTGCGATCTGCAGCAGGAGTAGAGATCCTGCCACGGGAGTAGTGCAGATCAAGAGAGGCGCGACCTTGTTGGCAGAGCCCGAGGGAGAGGTTTACATAGACACCGGGATTCTTGGGATAGAAGGAGAGCACGAGGTCCGCGACGGGAACGGAGTACTGGTGACGGTAATCAAAGCAGTCGAGGGCTAGGACTGGAGACGAGCGCGAACAGTGACAAGTAAACATGTCCGGGCTGCGAGTTCTGTCACAAGTCCGGGTTGCGAGATCTGCCACAGGTCCGGGCTGCTGCAACTGTCATAGGCCGGGCTGTAACGCCTGGCGTAAGTACCCAACTAGAGCCTCTGGTAGCCTACGGAACCTGACACGATGGGGCCACAACCGACCACGGGCGAAGCAAGAGAGGAGTACAGGACATCGCCCGAACGAGCACTGAGGGATCTGAAGGAACGAATTAGGCAGGGAGCACCTTTGAGATGAGCTGACCAAACCAATGACGGAGAACCCGATGTAATGGGCGAGCCAGTCGTGAAAGAGCCGCGGGAGGCTCTGAAGACTGGAACCTCGAGCGCTCGACGAGAAGCGACGACACGACGCTCCCCCGAGTATGGACGGAGGGAAACCAGGGCGGATAGGGACGGGGACGACTGGAGAGAGAGTTCACGAGATTCCTATTGGAGGGACAAAGACAGGGATAAAGCACCGCCCCGGCGTGTCTTCCACCCCCAGACAGGGGAGTCACATCCGCTTCCTTACGAGAGCAAGGATCGCTATATTATTACGCACAAGACCTCGGAGCCTCCTACTTTTAGGGGCTATGGTATCACAGAATATCTGGAGAAGTGGGAGCTTCATACTAGTCGGAATCATTGGTCGGAGGAAGAGATTATAGAGAACTCCCTATTTAATGTGGATCCAAGTCTCGGCAAGGAAGTTAAGGAAGCCCGACCGAAGGATGGGAAATAGACTGCGTATAAGAAGAACCTCATTGAGCTTTACAAATTAGAGGATAACAAGTACTCCATCAAGGACCTTGAAACTGTGACTCAAGATGAAGATGAGAGTGTACGGGCATTTGAGATGCGTTTCTAGAAGATCTCTGACGTGCTGATGAAGAAGGGGAAGATCTCAGAGGTCGAGCGTTGTACTATCTTCATTAGACATCTGTCCAAAGCCAAGCAAAAGAGTATACTTAGAGATCTCCCGCGCGACAAGCTTGACTTCCCAGAAGTCCTAAAGCTCGCGATAAAGGCAGAGGCAGACGACTACAAGGACATGGTATGGAGGGGAATGAGGAGACGTGACTTCTCTCTCTATAAGGAGTATGCCACTGATAGGTGTCCTGATTTCAAGGACAACCCCTGGTCCGAGAAGAATGAAGCGCCGAGGAAGTGAAGGAGATAAGGGACATGGTAAAGGGATTGACAAGACAGGTTACAGAGATTGTGACCAGCACAGGAGCCACGACTTACCGGGACAAACCCGGAGGACCCTATTCACTTCGCTGGGACCATAGGAACACCGATTCCTGGAGGAGTGTCGATGATAGAAATCCTCGAACGCTGACTGATTATCATGCGAGGGAAAGGAAGAGAGACGATGAGCCATGGCGACGAAGGGATGATGATATAGACCGGGACCGCAGGGCTCGCGAGACGTATGGGTGAGCTAGGAGACTGGATGATTACTCGGGTAGCCCTCGCTATGAGGCTGATGGAGGTAGAGGTGACTCTCGAGGCCGGTGGGAGTCAGATCAGGGCCGGCGAGACGGATACAGGAACGACAGATATGAGAGATCGGACCGAGATAGATATAAGGACGACAGATATGAGAGGACGGATCGAGATGGATACAGGGGTGGCAGGTATGAGAGAGGAGATCGAGACGAAGACCGACGAGATGACTCGCACGGACGGTATGACCGGGGGGGGATTCGCGAGGGCGCAGCGTGACGATTCGCGGGGGTGGTACGACCGAGGAGATCGACGCGATGAGTCACGCGGGCGATACGACCATGGAGACCGACAGAATGACTTACGGGGACGATATGAGCAAGGAGGGTCTGGAGGAGACCGCCGAAATGATTCGCGCAGACGGAATGAGAGAGTGGGATATGGCGCGTCATCCGATCCGTATCCGAAGTCCCCTGACCCCAGAGCAGCCAGGGGTTCGATCTCTAGGAGCGCAGACGACAGACCATCCACTCCCAGGAACTCTTCAGTCTACTGTAGAGGGGATGATCATATCAAGAGAGACTGTCCGGATCTCAAACGGGCAATAGATGAGGGACTTGTCGTGCTTGATGACCGCAAGTACGTCAAATGGGCAGATGATCTAGGAGACGTATCAATGTTCCCTTCGATGAAGGAGAATGTTGAAGCGAGGAGAGTAAAGCCGAGTAAAGGAAAGGAGTCGGTTAGGAGCCAGAGCATCAAGATAACTTTCGAAGGAGATATGGCAACCACACCCATAAGGGTGGCAGCTACCAAGTCGGCGAGGGGGTCTACATCGAGGAAGACTGACACAGATTACGTGATAGCGGAGAAGGATGGACAGCGGATCGATGGAGAGGAGGTTATTCTTTCACCGCGAAAGCGGGGAGTGAAGAAGTTCTTGATGAAGAGTTCGCTGGATGAGATTGACACAGTCGAGCCACTGAGACGGACCCTTCGGCGGCCCATATTCTGGAATATCTCGCAGCATCCAAGTCGGCTCGCGACGAGTTCTAGATGATCACGCGGAAGACTCGCATACCTCTATCAGAGGAGGTTCAGGTGGCCCCAAAGGCGGATGTTCCTGCTGTAGCGGTATCAGAGGTGACAGCTAGAGCAGATCGCATGGCGACAGTTCTTCTTGATGGGATGGAAGGTGTGCCTCCTGACAAGTTTTACGTACTTGGTAGTGGGACCGTGGATGCGATCCTAAACGACAGAGCGGTTCTAGATGCTGTGATCGATAACGGCAGTGAGGCTGTCATTATAGACGAGGATCTGGCAGTGCAAGTTGGACTGGACCTCGATAGGTCATACCTATTCGAGATAGAGACGACTGATGAGGGAAAGCAACAGATTACCGGGGTTTGTCATAAGGCAGCCATAGAGGTCCAAGGGGTACAAGTGACCCTGCCAGTCTTTGCAGTCAAGAACTGCTGCTCAGATCTGCTCTTGGGACGGACGTGGTTGAGCCACGTGCATGCGGTGACGATAGAGCGACCGGACGGGAGCCAGACATTGTCCATTAAGAAGCTAGATGGGACTCGGGTTATGATTGAGACAGTGGAGCCTCGAGACCCGAGGAACAGAGCAACCCTCGCTGTGGGTGCAGGGCCCGGTGATCAGATTAAGTTATTACCTATCTCCGACCGCGCGGTGCGATTTCGCGAGAAGAAGTATGAACCACTGCTCACAGAAGAAGAATGCCGGATTGTAGAGGTGGAAGATTTAGGGAGTCGGCTGATAGTGGACGGCAACTTGTATCCAAAGGAGGCAGATGAGGAATTTGGCGGCGTGGTGTTTGTGTCTTTTTTAAGGGCACGGCTCCCTATGGGGGGCTACCCAAGCGACACAAGCGAGTAACTCAGAAAGTTAAGCCAGCGGCGGTGGGCCGCGAGTGATCTGCACTGGAAGGGATATCATAAGAAGAAATCGCAAAGGAAATCAAAGAAAGAAAGAAAAAGGAGCCGCAACGTCTAACAGAAGAGAGAATAGCAGGGTTGGACATCGGAGATGGAAACCTGACCCCTCGGGAGCGGGAACGTGTGATAGAGATCTTAAAGACGTGCGATAAGACTATAGCCTTCAGCGACATGGAGCGCGGTAGGGTTGACCCTCGTTACGCAAAGCCAGCAAGGATTTACACGATTCCACATGTTCCATGGAATGACGCAGGAAGGAAGAGGTTATCGCTTTCCTGAAAGAAAAGATGGTTTCTCATGTTGCGGAGCCATCTAACAGCGCTTATGCTAATCGATGGTTCTTCCTACGGAAACCGAATGGCAAGATCCGGTGGATCCAGGACCTTCAGAAGGTCAACGCGGTGACGATTCGAGATGTGGGCTCCGTGCCACACGCTGACTTACTAGCTGAGGGCGCCGCGGGCAGGTCGATTTATTTGGTCTGTGATCTGTTCTCAGGCTATGATGAGGTACCGCTTGATCCTAGGGACAGACACCTCACGGCTATGCACACGCCATTGGGACTGATACAGATGATGGTCGTCCCTATCGGTTCGACTAATGGGGTAGCCGTTTTTCAGAGAGCCATGGTAGCCGTACTCAAGGACTTTATTCTTGATAAGGTTGAAGTATTTCTGGATGACTTTCCTATAAAAGGGCCAGTAAAGAAAGATGAGATAGAGGTTGTACCAGGAGTTAGGAAATTCGTCGAGCAGCACCTAACCGACATTTGCGCGATACTTGAGCAGTTAGACGATGCAAATTTAACGATCAGCGGAACAAAGAGCCGGTGGACCGTCTCGACTATTAAGATCTTAGGCTTTATCTGCGACTCGACAGGACGCCGAGCGGATCCTGCGAAACTAGACAAACTCCTAAATTGGTCGTCCCCGTTACATAGTGCTACCGAGGTCCGACAGTTTCTGAAGTGGTCGGTTACTCGTGGATATTCATACGGAGGTATGTGGAGAAGGTTGAGTCATTGAGGCTACTCCTTCGGAAGACTGAGAAATTCTAGTGGGATTCTTCATAGAAACTCGCTATGTAAGGGCTTAAAGACGAATTTAAGGAGGGAGGACGCGTACTCGGCGTGCCTTTTTTTGACGATGAGGCAGAGAGATCCTTCATAGTATCCACGGATGCTGAACCCTGTTCAGTTGGGGGACTACTATCTCAGAAGGACGCTGAAGGGAAGGAAAAATCGTTAAGATTTGAGAGTAGGACACTTAATACAGCTAAGCGAAACTATAGTCAATCAAGAAGGAAGTGTTAGTTGTTCTACGGTGTATAGACATGTTTAGACACTTTATCTACGAACGACGGTTCATCTTGAGAGTAGATCCCACAGCGGTTGCCTCTGTCCTCCAGAAGGACTTTAGTCTGACGGACCCGACCATCGCACGATGGTTAATACAGATCCGACTATATGATTACACAGTTGAGAGAATATCGGGTACTAAGAATGCCGTGGTGGGTGGGCTTTCAAGGATCCCTCTTGAGGCTGATCGCCCAATAGTAGCTGGAGCCTTGACGATGGCGGAGCCGAGACGCGCCGATCGATTTCCGGTTAACCTTTACGAGGGCAAATACCGAACGATCGGCCTACATTTGTCAGGGGAGGAGAGTCAAGATTCAGATATCCGGAGACAAGCGGCCCAGTACTGCCTTAGAGCGGGTCATCAATTCCGGAGACCAGTCTGATCGGGGATGCCGCTACGAGTAGTCTGTGATCCTAAGGAGAGGCAGACGATAGTTGCGGAGCTTCACGACGGGGTAGTCGGGGGCCATAGAGGAGTCAAAGGGACCTACGAAAAGGTACACAGGTTGTACTGGTGGGAAGGACTGTATAAGGACATCGAGAGATACTGTATAACCTGCGAGGAGTGCCAGAAGAGAGCTCTTGTGAAATACAAAGAGCCACTTCAACGATCCCATCCGACCAGGCCGGGAGAGAAGGTACACATCGATCTGGTGAAGATGCCGAAAGGGGTAGGCAATATGAACTACGTCGTGAACATACGAGACGACTTCACTGGGTTCGTGGACGGTAGACCTATCAGGAGTAAGACGGTAAGGGAAGTAAAGAACTTCGTCCTAGAGTACTTATCTAGGTACGGTTGTGTCAGCAAGATAGTGATGGACAGAGGGGCGGAATTTCTAGCTGATGAGGTGCAGAGTGTATTCAAGAGAGCCGGGGCGAGAGTTTCGATAGCCACCACCTACCACCCACAATCGAACTCTCCAGTAGAAAGGGGACACTTGACTCTGATAGCGTCACTATCCAAGTGGTGCAAAGGTAAGGACAGTGATTGACCACGATATTTTCGATACCCAATATGGGTGGACAACGTCACAGTCCGAGCTAGCACTGGATACCCACCATACACCTTGTGGTTTGGGCAGCATTGTCCGCTCCCCATAGAGTTTCACGCCGACAGCAGGACAACCGTCGACTGGACGGAGAAGATGTCCAGAGAGGAACTCATAGCTGCGCGAACAAGACAGATAGCCTACAGTTTGGAAGACAACCTTATGACAGCGGCATATCGTCTAGCAGTGGAGAGGGACAAAGGTAAAGAGAGATGGGATAAGGGTGTGCGGATCAGGAAAGAGAGGGTGAGCGTAGGAGATATGGTCCTTCTCTACGACGCAGCACTGGAGAGGACCTGAACCGGAAAACTCGCCAACAGATGGATGGGACCTTACAGAGTGGTTGAGGCGCTCGACTGGGGTGCCTATATGATAGCAGAATTGGACGGATCCAAGTGGAAGGACCCAGTGGCGGGTGCCAGGTTAAAGTTGTTTAGACCCAGGCCTGCACCCACCTTATCGCTGACAGGCCCGAAAGGGAAAGGGAAGGTCAAGATGGAGGACGAAGCCCCCTCGAAACGATTAGAGGCACGGGAAAGTTCCAAGAAGACGAAAAGAGTGGAGAGAAGAAAGGTCAAAGGTTTAGCATTAGGAAGAGAGAAGAAATGGTTATTCGTGCTCAAGAGGGCCAGAGAGTTCGCATTAGACAAACTGGTGGATCGGCACCTTTCTCGGACCAACGTCAGAAGAAAAAGCGGGTCCTACCAAGGCCAAAATCCCGAAGGAAAAGGAAAGTCAAGAAACATCTTCTTAGCCCCAGAACTCACAACAAACTGGAACATAAGACGATTAAGCGCCGACGTGGGCATCCTTTACGGGCCATCACCCTAAAGCTCGCCCGCTTCGTTTGATGTAAGTGGTTAGGGCTCGACGGGGGCGTCGAGAAGTGGTCCAGGCTAACTGTCAGGCGGCCACAGGCAGTGCACTGCCTGAAATCTGCGGCTTTGGGACTTAGGCTTAAAGACAAGTCCGTGTTTTGACGGTACTCTGGTTTGACCAGGCAGCAAAAATTAGGGGAACTTTTGGCACCCCTGATTTTGGGCGCACTGAACCTTATGAGTAACCCTCAAAGATGGCGAGATGGGTGACTGCACTCGGCATGTCTAGGGACTGTCATTTCCGGCCGTTTAGAGGGTTAGACCCGGATTGGCCTGCCGCGGAGAGGCATCGGGGGAACTGACCTCGCCACAACGTTTCTGCAGCATATGAGCGGGGCTGAGATGAGGCCTTAAATTTTTGTCTATTTTAGTACCATAATTAAAAATGGGGAAGAGGGATTAAGACCAGTAAGGGAGAAGAAAAAAACATAATATCCCTTATTTCTTTATTTTTCACGGCATTTAATTCTAGGGGGAATACCCTTGTTATTTTATGTAACCGACAATGAAATTAAAAACATGAAAAAAGATTAAAAATGGTAAAGAGAAAAAAACAAAAGGAATTCGGCCATTTATTTAAACTCTCTCGGAATTTAATTTTGGGGAATTTACGGTTAATTTACTGTTTCAGACAATAGAATTAAGAAAAACGAAGAATGATTAAAAACGATGAAAGGGGACGGAAACCCATGACTATTGGGAGATCGGCCTAATTTTGCCTCGATTACCCGCCATCAGCTCTGACCCCGGATTGATCATTTTCTCTGGATTCTAACAGTTTTTCCTATTCCCCGATAATCGAAAATCCCTGCGTCACTTACCTGATTTGCCTGATCACTAACCTTACCGACAGAGTGTGCGAGAGGGGGCCGCATCGCCAGCATGAGACGGTATTATCTTGGTATGACCCCGATATCTGGTTCGGTCTGGATCAGGGTTGTCGACCCCCGGACCCGGGGCCCCGGCGGGGGTCCCAGGGGTCGGGGG